TAGTCTTAGTTGTAGTCAAAGTTTCAACTTCACTGCACATGGGTCACCCCATATTTGCTTCGTTCCTGTGCCAGTGAAAATTAAATGAAATGTCCCTCACTGTCCCATTTGAAAAACCGGTGAACAAACAATTAGTTCCGGCACAATTAGGAAATATGCCACAATTTAACTACAAGTTGTAAGTTAATAATGAGGAACTAACTAAACAAAATGACTGAGTTAAATTATGGAAACTCACCTAATGTTGTAATCAACAAACATGTGTTCTAAATTTAACTTCAAGTTGTAAAGAACTAATAAGGAATTAATTAATAAACAAATTGAGAGAGCTAAATCACAGAAACTCGTCTAATGTTAAAATCATGTATTCTAGAATTTAACTACAAGCCATAAAGAACTAATGAGGATCTTAACAAAATGACTGAGTGAAATCACAGAAACACACCTAATGGTGTAAACAATAACCTTGCTACATTTCAACTACCATTTGTAAGGAACTAATGAGAACCGAACTAATAGTGTAATCAACAAACAAGTCTGCTACAATTAAACTACATGCTGTATGGAATTCTTCTTCTGCTTCACATTCACTGGTTGTAAAATCCAGCTGGAAATTCTGGTTGTTCATCCATTTCTGGACTTTAACATGAGTTTTGCATGCACATCCGTTTTACAGATCTGGCTTACTTGTAAGCAGACTGTTGGTACCTCGCCTCTCATGCAGATGCTCTCCAACTTCGAAGGAAACCAAAAGGGAACTAACTAAACAAATAATTGAATTAAATCACAGAAATGACCACCTAAAAGTGGCATCAGCAAACAACAGTGCTGCTATTCTACAGGGTGTTTTAAAAGTCTCACTAAATTTTGTATGTAGAACAAATTTGCGAAACAAAGTACATAAATAATTTTTAAATTTAAAAAATGGGCTCCATGGTCAAGTGTGAAGCAATGAGTGGCTGTCATTTGCTGGAGTAACTCTTTGCACTTAAAACAGAACGGTGTTATCAGTGGAAGACATAATTTTTGAGAGTTGATCAAGTGTTTTGAAATGGCGGTCAGTAAACATGGATGGTTGTTCAAAGATTTATTGCAAGATTTATTAATATGCAACCTCCTAATTGCGATACGGTTAGAACTTTATGGTTTAAGTTATAATTAATATTTCTCTGGTACTTTCCAGTTTGCCCAAAAGAGCATTAGACTACAGCAGTGACTATAGTAACTAATTCACTGACTATATTTTTAATGATGTCATGTACTGGGGTTTTCTAATTTGTTGTGCATAAAAAAGTTTTGTGAAGCTTTACCAACACCCTTACGATAAACAAAAAAATTGGCCCTACTGACATGAAATATAAGTTCACTGAATCCACTGTAAAACATATACTAAAATGATAATTTACATGACAAAAATCATACATGGATTTGTTAAAAGTGACCTATCCTCAGACATCTTGTTCGACAAATACGCCAGGGGTCACAGCTCCAGAAGCACATGAGTAAATATCAGGCATGGTCTCAATTGTAAGGACTGCATAAGTAAACATAAATGACTGACTGACTGACTTTCTACCCCACCAGGACATCACACAAGCGATAAACACCTGATGACACAAAGTGCCACCATGCGGATGAGGATCACCGTTGAGATGTCCCCGAAACCGCGTTCAGCCATTAGGCCATATTTATGGCCAGGCTATATTGCGGCCCCTGGCATAAGCCAGAGTAGGGCTTCAAATAACGAAGAATTGCATCCTGAAAGGGACGGCAAGATAATGATACCTTTTAAACACAAATGACCCTTTTCCATGCTTATATAATCCACTGAGTATTGGTGAAAGACCATGTCTTTACAGACAAATGACCACTTGACCGGTGTTGTGGTAGGCATAAGCTGATTACCTTTACTTCCTGAGAAATTTTCAAACCGATTCAACTGGAGTCAAGGCAGCATACTAGCCAGACTCTTACCTGCCAGTCTAGGGTTCAACTCCACTTCGAGACTTGATTTATTTTCTCTCTCCAAAACTGACCTGGTTGCCCAGGTCAGCTTGGCCTAAAATTGGTACCAGAGAATGTCCTGAAAAGTAAAGGCGGCTAGTTTGATGCTGACTACATCAACTATCGAGTGCCAATTGAACTATAAAAATACCTAATGTGCTAAAGGTGTGAAATGAGCTCTTTACTTTTACTTCAATGAAGATTCCAACCGCAGGTCAGCAGACGAGTGTGCTAGCCACTGTTAATATGGCTTCCCCCAAGAATTGCATAGTATCACAAAAACATCTTGTTACAAGTGAGTAAAGATTTGACATCACAACATTTAGGGCAAACACCTGTTAGCTCCATCTCACTCCTCAACAGCCAGGGAAGGCTCCACACTAATGACATCCGTTGTCATCTTGTTTAAACTTTTCAGTGGCAGCCTAGGACACTGAGTCAACCCCAAGTGGTCTCACATCGACCGAGTAAATATCGCCTGCAGACTTGATTCGCAACCCAATGACAATCTTGCACACCACAGCCTAACAAATAGCTGACACTATATACATCAACTACTACCTTAGCTCTAGAAACAAACAAATGCAGTTGCTTTAAAGCTCAACTCCTTACATAAAAGGTGTTAAAGAAAACTAGACTTGGGACTGAAAGAGTCAAAGACAAATGCAAAAGAAGAAGGAGACTGGGTCAAACGGTAGGCATAGGTCCGTATAAAAGTGTGCCTTAATGTGGATTCGAACCATTGCTTCCCTGTGTGGAATTTGGGGCCCCATTTTGGGAAACAAGAATAGACCCACTGCCTGCCCGACAACATGTCATAAGAGTCGACTAAGTGAAAGCCTGCTTTGAAGACAGAGTAAATCAGCCTGAGAGGTAAGGAACCAACAGTCTGCATGCAAATGAGTCAGACCTGTAAAATGGATGTGCACACATCACTCAGTTTCTGGAACAGAACTAGAGTGCAGAAATGGAAGTACAACCAGAACTTTCTGCTTGAGTTTACAGCCAGTGAATGCGAAGAACAAGAAGAAGAACGTATTCTCACTAGGCCGGCACGCAAAGTGACAGCCACTATCCAACAACAGCTCTCTGATATCATGCATGCGTTCAAGAAACTATACCTATCAACTCACAAAACAATGTATAATCTTTCTCACAAAACAATGAATAATCTTTCTCACAAAACAATGTATAATCTTTCTCACAAAACAACGTATAATCTTTCTCACAAAACAGTGTATAATCTTTCTCACAAAACAATGTATAATCTTTCTCACAAAACAACGTATAATCTTTCTCACAAAACAATATATAATCTTTCTCACAAAACAATGAATAATCTTTCTCACAAAACAATGTATAATCTTTCTCACAAAACAATGTATAATCTTTCTCACAAAAAAATGTATAATCTTTCGCACAAAACAATGAATAATCTTTCTCACAAAACAACGTATAATCTTCTGCTTTGCATTTACTGGCTGTAAACTCTGGCGAAATGTTCTGACTATTCATCTGCACTTTATTTTTGTTCCAGAACCTGAGTTCTGCAAGCATATTTGTGTTACAGATCTGGCTTATTTGTGTGCAGACTGTTGGTTCATCGCCTCTCAGGGAGAATCAGTCTGGCTTGAAAGGAAACACCCCTAATTAGTCGACTTTTGCATGTCTGCTTGTTAGGGAGCAGTGAGTCTATACTTTTTTACCCTCCAAAATGGGGCTCCTGAACACACAGGGAAATGTTCATTCAACAACCTTGGACCATTATATACATTTTCCCTGGACCATCACATACATTTTCCCTGGACCATCACATACATTTTCCCTGGACCATCACATACATTTTCCCTGGACCATCACATACATTTTCCCTGGACCATCATATACATTTTCCCTGGACCATCACATACATTGTCCCTGGACCATCACATATTTTTTTCCCTGGACCATCACATACATCGTCCCTGGACCATCACATACATTGTCCCTGGACCATCACATACACTGTCCCTGGACCATCACATACATTGTCCCTGGACCATCACATATATTTTCCCTGGACCATCACATACATTGTCCCTGGACCATCACATACATTGTCCCTGGACCATCACATACATTTTCCCAGGACCATCACATACATTTTCCCTGGACCATCACATACATTGTCCCTGGACCATCACATACATTGTCCCTGGACCATCACATACATTGTCCCTGGACCATCACATACATTGTCCCTGGACCATCACATACATTGTCCCTGGACCATCACATACACTGTCCTTGGAGCTTCACATACACTGTCCCTGGACCATCACATATATTTTCCCTGGACCATCACATACATTGTCCCTGGACCATCACATACATTGTCCCTGGACCATCACATAGATTTTCAGTTTCCTCTGTCACTTCCTTCATCTCTGACAGTTGTGCAGAGGTAAGTCAAGACCCGACATCACAGCATTCAGGACATTCCCATATGTGTTCCATCCTCATCTTCAGCAGCCAGCAAAGAGTTCCCACCCTAATGATAATAGTAGCAGTTTCATTATACACTGGTCTTGTCTTTCCTCTGAGTGCAGAGTGTCGGCCAGATCTCCTGGTTCATTCCCCACCCCACTATTCTCTCCAAGGTTTACTGATCTATTTGCACTTACGCATTGTGGATTTGCTCCCACAGGGTCATGACCGCATCTAGCTTGTCTTGGATCAAGACACACCCAGTTGTGCACAACCAGCCAATCTGTCTGCCTGTTCATTTCCTAACACACCTGGATAATATGGTGAAAATATTCAAAGGATACTAACCATCAGAGACATTTGAAGTGATGCTTGCCACTGTGAACGGAGCAGGCCTTTCTCCAACTTTGACAGTTGCAAAACTTTGAGCAATTATTTCTCAAAACATGGAAACAGTGGAGACAAGAGACTGCCGTTTTAGGGCTAGGATTATTGTAAAAAATAAATCAATAAAACAAGAAACAACAAAATTAAAATACTGTATCACTAACAGATTCAGTTAATGTCTGTAGATACCCCTGTGGATTGTGGTCATCCGTGAACCTGTATGTGTCATATGATCGAGATGTCCCCGTATACGGCTTGTATGAGTTTGAGCTTTCCTTACTTGCCCTTAAGGAACTCAGATCTAGTGGGGGAATCTGCTGCTGGTGCCATTTTGTCTTTGGGATGGGTGTCAGTGGAAGAGTCTTTATATTTGAGCCGCAGCTCGTGTCTGGATGACCTTCCATGCTGGAATCATGGGATGATAATTTAGCGGTGGGAGATTCATTGTCCAGGACAGTGTATCCTGTTGTGTGCTTGTCCTGTCCTTGGTTTCGGCAGGAAAGTAAATTTGATGGGTATTCAGACTCTGTGTGACACTGAACATCAGCAGACGACAACACAGAGAGGCCTTTCTGTAAATGAGGTAAAGGTAGAGGTCGTTTGACTGTAGAATGTTCTGGATCATTCATATGACCATTCTGCTTTATGGGAGAAGGCTCATCTGTCTCTGAAAGAATAAAAAACATGTGAAATTACTCTGCTGTTATTATGGTTTTGTTATTAACAAAATATTATTAGCATTTCTTTTGACCCATTAAATATAAAAATTAGCCTAGAATGTACGGTGAGACGCAACAACAAAATTCATAATCTGTTAAAATGACAATTAATCACTGAAATCATGAAGGCTAACATACTGCAATGGTTGCAGCAGACAGACAGAATGGCAAATAAACGTTAACTGCATATTCTTTGAGACGTTGCAGAACCAACCCTAGCCATTTTTGGCTGTTTGTTATATCACTTGGCAACTTTATTTTCTGTTGTTTGCCGCTGCTTTTTGAACAGTTGGTTCTCAATACTACTCTTAAAATCAATGCAAGGTATGCTGCCAAATCACCTGCAGCTGGAATCAAACTTTGCACATCGGAATTATGAAGTGGATTTACAGCACCTAGGCCACAGATGCCGACAGATAACAGATAGATTTAGAGAAAAATACATGAGTTAGTGAAAAGTTGTTACTGCATAAGGAGAAGCAGCAAATTTCAACTGCATTTTGATTACATTAAAAGACTATATAAAGATCATACTGGAGGGAAAAGTCGGGAGTTTGCAAGCAATAAGTAGAAAGGGATACAAATGGGAGGACAAGATTAAGAAATAGATTAACAACTGTCTACAAGAATGTATATCGAGGGTGAGAAAACAGCAGATAACAGAGAGAGAGAAAAACTATGCACACGAATGAGCTGAGTGGGAGTAGACAAGAAGATGGTGAAGAGATAATATCCATACAGACATGTATACGCTGATATTAAGTGCTCGAATGGCTGCTGGAAAAGAAGAAGGAGTAGGAGCAGGAGAATGAGGAGGAGGGGGAAGGAGGTGGAGGGGAAGGAGCAGAAGAAAAAGAAAAAGCAAAAGAGGAAAACATATCTTAAAAAACAAAAAGCTTACTGATCTAATGTAGGTAACTCTGCAAATCTCACACATCTGAAACAAATATGCTTACATTGTTTAGAAATTTCAAAAATAGATAATACAAGAACTCACAAAATTCACCTTGCCCACTTCTCCTGTCAGATACATCCCGATGCGGCTTCTTGTCCCTGATTGGTGTCGCATGTGGAGGTGGGGTTTCCCCTCTCTCAACCATTTCAGACACTTCTAACGATTTCTGGTAGAGCCTCAGATCATCTTCAGCCCTAGAAATATCCCAAATACATCAAACATTCACCTGTATATAATGAGTTATACTTCAGGCCTGTTGGCCAAGATTTAGGCTCGGTCATAAGAATGTCACCAATATATGTACCTACCAATTTTAGTAAGGCGGGAGAAAGGGGGGGGGGGGTGGGTCTCAGAGGCAAAGTGGTCAAGCTGTTTGCCTCGTGCTCTGAGGGTCGTGGGCTCATTTCTCTGCGGTTTAGCTGTTCCGTGCAGAGAAAAAGACTGAGCTGTATGGGATAAAACCTGGTACAATCAAATATATCCTCTCACATTTACTAAGGCTGGGGAGATATGGGGATTTTAAACCGGAGGATTTAGGGTTGCATGTCTAGTGCTGTTGTTGCTACAGACTGTGCCAGTAAGGATGTTTCATTCTGCATCCCTCTCCCCCACCCTTCCCCACGACAGAAAAACTTCATCAACCCTTGCTGCAGAGGGTCGAACCCTGGTCTCACACACGACAGCACAATTTTGTTACCTGGACCAGCCACTCTTTTGCCAAAGGACAAACACAGTAAATCGCTAACAAAAAAGAAAGAAAGAACAAAACAGCCGAGCCATTCTCACTGGCTTTTTGGTATGTTGCTCAAGAGACATTGTAACGTCAAGACAATATTACAGGGACTGTCTAGGCCCCAAGAAACATCATTCAACCAAGGAAATACATGTCACAGGGAAACTGTTGAAACATCAATAGTCTCTCCAGTGGACTGTGGTGAAAGCAAACGTCTGCACATGACTATAAAATGATGACGATAATGATGACAGTAAAAGAAAATGTGGAAACTTACTTAACACTGTCCCCATTACTTCGTTCCTGCTTGCTTGGTGTAATCTTGTTGGCCTGTTCCAGAATGCAATATTACACAATTTACAAATTTTAAAAAGCTATGCACACAAAAAATAGAATGTTTACAGCAAGTGGGATATTAATGTTTATACACAGAACCGGATCAACACTGGTGCTATAGAGTTTGTGATTTGTAAAGAATCAACAGAGATATGTATGCATATGAGTGTAATCTAAACCGCACATAAGAATATAAGCTAATATGGAGCTGTGGGAGATAGCTAACAAAATTCCAGTGATTCAAGAGGTGAGGAGAAGATGGTGGCATTGGCTAAGACACACAATGACACAAAAACATTGACTACATTAACTTGAATGCACTTGCACTGAACCCACAAGTGAGAATAAACATTAAGGGATGAAAAAAGAAAGAACATTCAGTCCAGCAAGAAAACTACTGTGACCACACTAGGAGTACTTCTAGTATTTCCCATGGTCTCTGAGTAGTGAGACTGCACGCTCGTGTGCATCACTGTGAAGGTAAAAAATCCCTTGGCAGTTGGAAATTAAAAAGAGTAGCCTAACAGCGCTGCCCGGGCAAAATTTGGAGTTTAAAATTTACCCAAAGTATTTCAGGATGTTCGCCGGTGCTACAGAGTCTGTGCACTGTGCTGAGCTTCTTTGGACTCAGACTTGAGTTGGAAGAAGAACAGAGCACTTATAAGTTACAACCCGTGTGCCATGATGTTGATCCGTTGTTCAAACTTCATGTGTACTAACTTCAGTCCGTCTCCAAGATTATAAAAACTTTGTGTAATCTGTGGATGGAAACTGAAGTACTTAGGAAACATCTGTGTGATCCTTTACAAATAAAATGAAATTATCTATGAAAGTCACTACCCACAGTTACTGGATAATCACCACAAGCCCAAACTAAAGGCTCTCCAGTCTCTTAGAGTGTCATTTTCATTTATTGCTTTGGAGATGTTTTTTTTTCTTTTTTACCCACAGAGACAAGCTACACGGTCTGCTTGCCACATGAAGCATAATAAGTCATGCAGACTCACCTTCCTAGGCTGTGTCTTTGTGACTGGGATTTCCCCTAGAGAAGACACTTGGTTCTCTGAGTTCTTCTCTCGCTCTCTGATGATAAAGTCATATGTAGACATCCCTTTATAGACTGAAAAGAAAAATTTGAAAATAATTGCATAAGCAGTTCCAGACTCAAAGTTATCTAAAGTAAAGAACAATCCTGGCTGGATATCATAGGCTGAAATCTCTTATCTCCTCGTGCGAGTTCTGGGACTCCATTATCAGGGGATGGGGTAGATAAACCCAGTGCCCCCCTCCTTTCCACCCAAACTCTAAGCATATATAAGTAAAGTAAAAATCCCTTTACACGCCCTTAGACGCATCGGGCATATGGGAAGAGCACCCATAATTTTTACAGACCAATCGGCACTCGGTGGGTAATGTGGTCAGCATTACGTCGGCCGTCTTTACTTTCCCAGGACAGCTCATCCTGGTACCCATTTGAGGCTGGGTCCACCTGCGACGTCCCATACCACGATAAAAATCCACGCAGCCCGCAGTGGGTTTCGATCGTGGTACGTTAGATTACAAGTCCAACTCCCAATGCCTTAGCCACGGACGCCGCTAAGCATTTACAAAAGGCAACTAATTATCGGTGATGTCGGAGTGCACCTGTTTTCAAGATGAGGAACCAACAGACTGGACAGAAGTAAGCCTCATCTGTAAAACAAATGTGAAGACAAAACTCATCTTCTAGAACAATAACCAAACCCAGAAGTGGAGAAACAACAAAAACTTTCTGATAGAGTTTACAGCTGGTGAACATTTTTTTTTTTAAATAACAAGAAATCCCCACAAAGGCAGAGTTTCAAAATAGAGCCAGGTGGACCTGGCTGGATCTAAGTGGACCCAGGCTTCCAACCTAGACAGGTAAGATAAATTAATGGACTGTTGGTTTTTTCTACCTCTCCACTGTGGCTCCTGCATAAACTGGATACCTGAGTGAGTGGATGAGTGAAAGAGACAAGCGGGTGAGTGAAAGAGACACATGACAAGTGGGTGGGTGAATGATACCCATGAGAAGTGGGTCAGTGAAAGAGACAAGCGGGTGAGTGAAAGAGACACATGACAAGTGGGTGGGTGAATGATACCCATGAGAAGTGGGTCAGTGGATAAGACTGATCACAATGGGGCTGTGGATGAGACCCAAAATAAGTGAGTGGGTGGATTAGACCCATGACAAGTGGGTGGATAGATTTGATCCATGACAAGTGGGTGGGTGGGGTAGGATCTATGACAAGTGAGTGAGACCCAGGACAAGTGGGTGGGTGGATGAGATCTATGACAAGTGGATGGGTGGATGAGATCTATATCAAGTGGATAGGTGGATGAGACCCATGACAAGTGGGTGGGTGGATGAGATCCATGACAAGTGGGTGGTAGGATGAGACCCATGACAAGTGGGTGGGTGGATGAGATCCATGACAAGTGGGTGGGTGGAATAGATCCATGACAAGTGGGTGGGTGGATGAGATCCATGAAAGAGGGTGGGTGGATGAGATCCATGACAAGTGGGTGGGTGGATGATATCTATGACAAGTGGGCGGGTGGATGAGACCAATGACAAGTAGGTGGGTGGAAGACCCATGACAAGTGGGTGGGTGGGTGAGATCCATGAAAAGTGGGTGGGTGGATAAGACCTATGTCAAGGGGGTGGGTGGAGTACATGTGACAAGAGGAGGAGCAACAAACACATGGGACATGGTGGATCACTTACTCAGCCAGATATGAAACTGGGTCAGGTGGACCAGAAACCCAAAGGCAATGACAGCAAGCACCACGGTGATGACATCAAATGTCAGGAACAAGGAGTCTGCAACTGGCTTCTGAAACATCTCCAAGGTGGCTGGCCTCTCACTTTCACTTTCAATGGCATCTACAAATAAACAAGGAGATCATTCATATTTAAAGAGTCATTACTTGTTACATTGTTTTTGATCATATTGTTGCTTTGTGTTTATTTACAGCACGGCTTGTTGCCAACACGTCTAAATTTGTTACTACATTTATTGTCTAGGTTCACCTTTCTGTTGAAGTTTGTAAGTCATTCATCATCATCAGAATCACCATCATTAGAATCATCATCATCATCATCAGCATTATCATTATAATCTTATCAGCATCATTGTTATTATCATCATAATCATTATCATCATAATTATCAGTATGATCAACATTACCAGTATAGTCACTATCAGCATCCTCATAATCATCAACAGCATCATCATAATCATCATCATCATAATCATCATCAACATTATCATCATCATCATAATCATCAACAGCATCATCAAAATCATCAACATTATCGGCATCATCATCAGCGGCTACAGCATCACCATTATCATCAAAACCATCAACATCATCATAATCATCATAATCATCAGCTCTGGAATGCTCATACTGGACAAGGGAGACATTCTGAAGACCATTTATGAACGAATGCTGACAGAAGACGCAAGGTTAGATGAAATAACATGTCTAAGAATGTGTGAACGAGGAATCAGAGGTTGATATGGGAAGGAGGGAGGTATGAGAGGAAGAGATGGATATGTTTATAATCAGTGTGCTGTGGGAACAGTTACCATCTATACCTTCAGACATCTGCTGTGGGAACAGTTACCATCTTTACCTTCAGACATCTGCTGTGGGAACAGTTACCATCTATACCTTCAGACGTCTGCTGTGGGAACAGTTACCATCTTTACCTTCAGAAGTTTGCTGCGGAAATAGTTACCATCTATACCTTCAGACGTTTGCTGTGGGAAGCAGAGAATCTATGGGCATGCCCGGCTCTTTTCCTCCACTTGTGGGTCTTGGTAAAACTCATAAATACTACACTACTTATACAACTAATTTTACTGTGGGTTCCTGGGCTGCACTGTGGGAAAACCAATAAGAGACCCACTGCCGCCCCAACGAGCAAGTAAGAGTTGACTAACTGGGGGCTTCCTTCAAAGTCGGAGAGTATCTTGCGTGAAGAGACAGGAACCAACAATCTGCATACAAATATGTCAGATCCATAAAAGGATGTGGACCCAACACTCAGATTTGAAACAAGACTAAAGCCCAGAGATGGACGAACAACTAAAACCGTCTGCTAAAGTTTACAGCTGGTGAGTGCGAAGAAGAAGAAGAAGACTATTACAGCTACTACTGCTTTTACTACTTTCACAACTACAGCTATATTTATTACTATTATTGCAAATACTACTAATTATGGTGCTGCCGCCATGACCACTACTACTGTAACTACTGATACCATCAATGCTACTATTGTTACAACTATACAATGCTAAAGAAAACTACATTAACAATACATGTCCTGCAAAAGAGATCATATTCCACACACACATAACAGTAAAAAAATTACCTTTGTAGACTTGAAAAATGTGACCATTTGATTTGTCAATGAAGAAGCCAATGAAAAGTGTTAAACCAACACATGTGACAATGAGGGAAGCCATTATAGCAAAGAGCAGCGTGGCAAAGAACCATCTGGAAAATAAACAACAGTTAACATATGAAGTAAATAAACAGAGTATGATACAACCCGGGAACGAAACTGCAGGAACAAATTAACTCAGGTAACACATTTATTGTCAAACTGGATAATGAAAATACCCTCAAGAATTCTGTAAACTAAAGCTAGACATACTTGCAATGTAAACTAACTCTGGACACAAAGATGCCACAAACAAAATATGGATAAACAATGATGCTGTAATCTGAATCGGCAAATGAAATAATACTACAAACTAAATCTAAATATACAATAGTGCTATAAACTAAATCTAGACAGGTAATGGTGCTATAAACTAAATCTAAACATACAATAGTGCTAGAAACTAAATCTAGATATACAATGGTGCTATAAACTAAATCTATATGTACAAGAGGGCTATAAACTAAACCTAGACATACAACAGTGCTATAAACTAAATCTAGACATACAACAGTGCTAAAACTAAATCTAGACATCCAACAGTGCTATAAACTAAATCTAGACGTACAACAGTGCTACTGACTAAATCTAGACATACAACAGTGCTACTGACTAAATCTAGACATACAACAGTGCTACTGATTAAATCTAGACATACAACAGTGCTACTGACTAAATCTAGACATACAACAGTGCTACTGACTAAATCTAGACATACAACAGTGCTACTGACTAAATCTAGACATACAACAGTGCTATAAACTAAATCTAGACATACAACAGTGCTATAAACTATATCTAGACATACAACAGTGCTATAAACTATATCTAGACATACAACAGTGCTATAAACTATATCTAGACATACAACAGTGCTACTGACTAAATCTAGACATACAACAGTGCTATAAACTAAATCTAGACATACAACAGTGCTATAAACTATATCTAGACATACAACAGTGCTATAAACTATATCTAGACATACAACAGTGCTATAAACTATATCTAGACATACAACAGTGCTATAAACTATATCTAGACATACAGACTAAATCTAGACATACAATGGTGCTACTGACTGAATCTAGACACAGTAAAAAGGTAAAGATAAAGTCGGGAGATGTGAACCAGCGTCATTGCACACGGTTATAAACCATAAGCACGCCCAGATGTTCTGCTGTAAAAGTATCAGATGCAGTTTGGCATGGCTGCATTCTCACTAGATGGCCGAACCATTTCATTCTTTGTCTGTCAATATAATCCAGACATGGTCTTATTTCAACTTTCTCTCTAATGCTGATAATAACCCTGCCTCTTCTTGTTTTGTTAGTGACCTTGCGGAGACCGCACATTTCACATGTAGTTATTGTCTGTTTTAGTGCCCTCAACACCCATACTTTTCATGTCCCACTCGTATTCCTCATTCTGACATCGTAGAAGCTGATCTAAACATCATCTCAACATTTGTAACTCACCACAGATGATGTCATTAGAGACTCCGCTATCCTCCCATCCCACAAGTGTTATCTAACCATTTAAGCCTTCGGAGACTGAGAACTGAGAAAACTGCTGTGATACCTGTGTGTGTGTGTGTGTGTTTGTTTTTGTTTTTTTAATCCCCCCAATACCTCAATGTTAGTGATCTTGTCTTGCTACTTAACTCCAAGAATTTTTCTTAGGCATTGCTTCTTCTTCTTCGCGTTCCACAGCTGTCCACTTTGGTGGAAAGTTCTGTTTGCTTGTCGACTACTGAACTGCAGTCGTGTTCCAGAACCTGAGTGTTGCGTGTGCATCAGTTTTACAGATCTCATTCTCTTGAATACAGACTGTTAGTTCCTTGCCTCTCCGGCAGATGCACTCCGACTTCAAAGGAAGCTCCCCAATTAGTCGACTCTTATGACATGCTTTTTGGGTAGGCAGTGGGTCTATTCTTGTTTTCCCCATAATGGGCCCTGGAACCCACCTGGTGATCTTATGCATTGCAAGATATAAAGATGCTGTAAACAAAATCTAGACACAAACTACACTTGACCACACACATTGTTACAAACTACAGAAATTACATTTAGGCATACAAGTGCAAGGAATTAAACTAGAGACACTCAAACTGGAAACAGGGCTACTAAGCAAGATCTAGCCACACAGGTAGAGTCAAAATACTCACTTATAATTACGATCACCCACACAGTTGTTTAACCAGCGACAGTGGTGATCAAAACCTGCTACACACTTGTTACAGGCGCTGCAATGTTTGGCTTTGGGGTCTCTGTAAATAAAGTGTACAGTTTATATTTTGGATTTCAATTCCAAGCTGGCAATATGCTGAAACCTTTCAAAGTGTAAAAAAAATGCAATAAATTCTGTGAACATTATCTTGCCTAGATTTTAGTTTCTAAGATGGAAAAGTTTAGGCATTTGTGTTTTAATGCATTTCTTTCGCAGAAGTCCAGGGGAATTAACTGTTTGGTAGTATGAACAACCAGAGACAAATTACTACTGATGTCAACATGATTCACAGCCAGCCAACAAACAGGCTGTCATATCATTAGACCATATTTATGGCCGGGCTATATTGAGGCCCCTGGCGTGAGCCAGAGTAGGGCTTCAAATAACGAAAAATTGCATCCCACAAAGGGATGGCAAGATACACAAAAGATACACTTCGACTGACTGACTGACTTTCTACCCCACCAGGACATCACACACTTGATAAACACCTGATGACACAATGTGCCACTATGTGGGTGAGGATCGCCGTGGAGAGGTCCCAGAAACCGCATTCAGCCTTTAGGCCATATTTATGGCCAGGCTATATTGTGGCCCCTGGCAAGAGCCAGAGTAGGACTTCAAATAACGAAAAATTTCATCCTAAGAAGGATGGGAAGTGCTTGAACTATCCTGAAGATGCACTAGTTTGGCTCTGGTCACAATGTGTGATACACATGATCGATTATGAATTTTACTATTTTTGCCACATTTAGAAGCTGTCACCAAAGGGGTCTGATAGTAAACTCTTTTTTTGTTATATTAAAACAGACACTGCAGAATTCACTTACTGAACGCTGACTTCACAAAGAGCACAGAACTTGTCCTCGATGGCATGTCTGTGTTTTGACCTGTCCAGTTTCTGAACCTTCTTGTTACCTCCTTTGTCTCTGACAGCGCTAATGGCTGGGTCAAGGCTGGTCGCAACAACCAATGTGGTGACAAGGCCAATCACAAAAATTGTGGTCACCTGCATAGGTCAAGGTTAAGGGAACAAACATTTACGAAGAACAATGTGATGGCGGTGTCACTTTTCAGCCATTTTTTACTGTACAGTCGAGTCCACTTAAGTCGAACTCGGATAAGTCAAATTTCGGTTAAGTCAACATGACCAGCTTAGTCCCGGCAATTTTCTCTATTGTGTGTGTTGTCTGGATAAGTAGAAGTCCTGATAAGTGGAAGCATTTTCTTAGGTCCCTGTGACTTCTACTTATCCAGACTCGGCTGTTTTTACAAATACTAGTAGTACTTGTGTTCTACTTTTCTTCCCTGTATTTGTTCTCAAGGGCTTCTGGCAAGCTGAATTGTGGTTTACAGATAGGCATCAATATCTGCGCCTTTTAGCAGAGAGCTTCTGACCTCAGCAAATTCTCAATTAGTCGTCTTTTACAACACGCTTGCTGAGGGGTAGTGGGTGTATTCTTTTCTTTTTTCCCACTTAAAATGGGTTGACAGCCCACACGGGGAAACTGTGTGATCACCACCAAACAAAAACTGTATGAATAATTTCTTCACTTGACTTTTTCCCCCGTATGTTTGACCCCATATATGTTATTGTGACCAGGGTCACTTCTAGAATGGACAAAGGATACACAGTACAGGGGGATCTGTGAGGCGGATATTAAACTTGGGATAAAGCAGCCGTAGTGGATGATGACAAAGTACACAATAACAATCCAGGCTACAACCTGAGGAATATTTAAAAAAATCATGAATATAATATACAGATTATCTTCACACTGTTAACAGCTGGTATTTAAACTATCATGAGAATGCACATAAAATCTGTTAGAAGCCTAGTAAATTCTGATATTTAAACTTAGTTGATCTGTTAACATGCGGCAGGTACACTATCTGTTAACATGCGGCAGGTAAACTATCTGTTAACATGTGACCAGTAAATTATCTGTTAACATGTGCCCGGTAAACTATCTGTTAACATGTGGTAGGTAAACTATCTGTTAACATGTGGCAGGAAAACTATCTGTTAACATGAGGCAGGTAAACTATCTGTTAACATGTGGCAGGTAAACTATTTGTTAACATGTGGCAGGTAAACTATTTGTAAACATGGGGCCGGTAAACAATATGTTAACATGTGACCAGTAAACTATCTGTTAACAAGTGGCCGGTAAACTATCTATTAAAATGTGGTAGGTAAACTATCTTGGAAATTTGAAACATTTTGTAAAGATATTATCACTTTAAATGTTTAACTTTTTGAACATACAATTTTATTAAATCTTAACATTGGAATACAACATCTATTTTGAAAGTGTTAACCTTTACCAAATTAATTCTTGGTAAATCACTTTGAAAAACTGTGATTCAATGCCCCCCCCCCCCCCCAACAAGCATGCTGTAACAGTAAACTAATTTTGTATGTTGCTTTTGAAGTTGGAGTGCATCAGCCTTAGCAGCAAGGAACCAACAGTCTGCATACAAATAAGCCAGATCTGTAAAATAGAGGTGCATGCACAATTCAGGTTCTGGAACAAGACTGAAGTCCAGAAGTGGATGAGCAACCAGAACTTTCTGGCAGAGTTTGCAGCTAGTGAACACACACGCACACACAAAAAGAAGAAAAATATAAACTGGTCCTTCATTCTTCTCTTTTTACTTCATTGTTATGCAAACACTAACAGGCAAACTGAAACACAAACTTCACTCAAATAGTGAAAATGAAACAAAGGACAACGAATCAAACCTGTAGCGAATGCCACGGACAGTTCCAGCCATGGTTTCGACTGTGTTCATTATATTTCACATCTTCTGTGGTAGACATGTTAAGCTGAGGCTGTTGAAAAAATCTGGACTAAAACAGGAAGCTCAGTAGTGAACCCGAAAGCTGGCTATTCCAGCAATCTCTTTTTGTGTCATGCCTCCTGGCAAGTTGACCACTGACTAGTGTGTGTAGCCTGTTTGTCAAAATGTACACACAAAGACACAACTTTTAGTTAAATAAACAAGAACACAAGGTTGCAAAGACTGTATGATAGTGTTCTAGCACTGACCTGTAGTTCAATGACTCTTATGACTTGGTGTCATTCATTCCATGGTGTCAGGATTCTATCTTGGTGTCATTCATTTCATGGTGTAAGGATTCTATCTTGGTGTCATTCATTCCATGGTGTAAGGATTATATCTTGGTGTCATTCATTCCATGGTGTAAGGATTCTATCTTGGTGTTATTCATTCCATGGTGTAAGGATTATATCTTGGTGTCATTCATTCCATGGTGTAAGGATTATATCTTGGTGTCATTCATTCCATGGTGTCAGGATTATATCTTGGTGTTATTCATTTCATGGTGTAAGGATTATATCTTGGTGTTATTCATTCCATGGTGTAAGGATTATATCTTGGTGTCATTCATTCCATGGTGTAAGGATTATATCTTGGTGTCATTCATTCCATGGTGTAAGGATTATATCTTGGTGTTATTCATTCCATGGTGTAAGGATTATATCTTGGTGTCATTCATTCCATGGTGTAAGGATTCTATCTTGGTGTCATTCATTCCATGGTGTAAGGATTATATCTTGGTGTCATTCATTCCATGGTGTCAGGATTCTATCTTGGTGTTATTCATTTCATGGTGTAAGGATTATATCTTGGTGTCATTCATTCCATGGTGTCAGGATTCTATCTTGGTGTTATTCATTTCATGGTGTAAGGATTCTATCTTGGTGTCATTCATTCCATGGTGTAAGGATTATATCTTGGTGTCATTCATTCCATGGTGTAAGGATTCTATCTTGGTGTTATTCATTCCATGGTGTAAGGATTATATCTTGGTGTCATTCATTCCATGGTGTAAGGATTATATCTTGGTGTCATTCATTCCATGGTGTCAGGATTATATCTTGGTGTTATTCATTTCATGGTGTAAGGATTATATCTTGGTGTTATTCATTCCATGGTGTAAGGATTCTATCTTGGTGTCATTCATTTCATGGTGTAAGGATTCTATCTTGGTGTCATTCATTCCATGGTGTAAGGATTCTATCTTGGTGTTATTCATTCCATGGTGTAAGGATTCTATCTTGGTGTCATTCATTCCATGGTGTAAGGATTCTATCTTGGTGTCATTCATTCCATGGTGTCAGGATTATATCTTGGTGTCATTCATTCCATGGTGTCAGGATTCTATCTTGGTGTCATTCATTTCATGGTGTCAGGATTCTATCTTGGTGTCATTCATTCCATGGTGTCAGGATTCTATCTTGGTGTCATTCATTCCATGGTGTCAGGATTCTATCTTGGTGTCATTCATTCCATGGTGTCAGGATTCTATCTTGGTGTCATTCATTTCATGGTGTCAGGATTCTATCTTGGTGTCATTCATTTCATGGTGTCAGGATTCTATCTTGGTGTCATTCATTCCATGGTGTAAGGATTATATCTTGGTGTCATTCATTCCATGGTGTAAGGATTCTATCTTGGTGTCATTCATTCCATGGTGTCAGGATTCTATCTTGGTGTCATTCATTCCATGGTGTAAGGATTCTATCTTGGTGTCATTCATTCCATGGTGTCAGGATTCTATCTTGGTGTCATTCATTCCATGGTGTCAGGATTCTATCTTGGTGTCATTCATTCCATGGTGTCAGGATTATATCTTGGTGTCATTCATTTCATGGTGTAAGGATTATATCTTGGTGTCATTCATTCCATGGTGTAAGGATTATATCTTGGTGTCATTCATTTCATGGTGTAAGGATTATATCTTGGTGTCATTCATTCCATGGTGTAAGGATTATATCTTGGTGTCATTCATTCCATGGTGTCAGGATTCTATCTTGGTGTCATTCATTCCATGGTGTAAGGATTCTATCTTGGTGTCATTCATTCCATGGTGTAAGGATTCTATCTTGGTGTTATTCATTTCATGGTGTAAGGATTCTATCTTGGTGTCATTCATTCCATGGTGTAAGGATTATATCTTGGTGTTATTCATTTCATGGTGTAAGGATTCTATCTTGGTGTCATTCATTCCATGGTGTAAGGATTCTATCTTGGTGTCATTCATTCCATGGTGTAAGGATTCTATCTTGGTGTTATTCATTCCATGGTGTAAGGATTCTATCTTGGTGTCATTCATTCCATGGTGTAAGGATTCTATCTTGGTGTCATTCATTCCATGGTGTAAGGATTCTATCTTGGTGTCATTCATTCCATGGTGTAAGGATTCTATCTTGGTGTCATTCATTCCATGGTGTAAGGATTATATCTTGGTGTCATTCATTCCATGGTGTAAGGATTATATCTTGGTGTCATTCATTCCATGGTGTAAGGATTATATCTTGGTGTCATTCATTCCATGGTGTAAGGATTATATCTTGGTGTCATTCATTTCATGGTGTAAGGATTCTATCTTGGTGTCATTCATTCCATGGTGTAAGGATTATATCTTGGTGTCATTCATTTCATGGTGTAAGGATTATATCTTGGTGTCATTCATTTCATGGTGTAAGGATTCTATCTTGGTGTCATTCATTCCATGGTGTAAGGATTATATCTTGGTGTCATTCATTTCATGGTGTTAGGATTATATCTTGGTGTCATTCATTCCATGGTGTAAGGATTCTATCTTGGTGTCATTCATTTCATGGTGTAAGGATTCTATCTTGGTGTCATTCATTCCATGGTGTAAGGATTCTATCTTGGTGTCATTCATTTCATGGTGTCAGGATTCTATCTTGGTGTCATTCATTCCATGGTGTTAGGATTCTATCTCGGTGTCATTCATTCCATGGTGTAAGGATTCTATCTTGGTGTCATTCATTCCATGGTGTAAGGATTCTATCTTGGTGTCATTCATTCCATGGTGTAAGGATTCTATCTTGGTGTCATTCATTTCATGGTGTAAGGATTATATCTTGGTGTCATTCATTCCATGGTGTAAGGATTATATCTTGGTGTCATTCATTTCATGGTGTAAGGATTCTATCTTGGTGTCATTCATTCCATGGTGTAAGGATTATATCTTGGTGTCATTCATTCCATGGTGTAAGGATTCTATCTTGGTGTCATTCATTTCATGGTGTAAGGATTCTATCTTGGTGTCATTCATTCCATGGTGTAAGGATTCTATCTTGGTGTCATTCATTTCATGGTGTAAGGATTATATCTTGGTGTCATTCATTTCATGGTGTAAGGATTATATCTTGGTGTCATTCATTCCATGGTGTAAGGATTATATCTTGGTGTCATTCATTCCATGGTGTAAGGATTATATCTTGGTGTCATTCATTCCATGGTGTAAGGATTATATCTTGGTGTCATTCATTCCATGGTGTAAGGATTCTATCTTGGTGTCATTCATTCCATGGTGTTAGGATTCTAGTTAGTTAGTTAGTTAGTTAGTTAGTTAGTTGGGTTATCCTCATTGCACTCCGGACATGTCCATAGGTGCTCAGATCCTCCCCTCAGTATGAACCCCAACGTCCGATGGCTAATAGTACCAGTTCTATGTTGATTAACAAGTCTTCTGGCGTAACTAGTGTGTGTCTCGTTTTTTGCTGTGCCGATCTTAATTCCCAAGTCTGCCATTCTGGCGAGTGATGTGGATTCACTGCCAACAAAGTCGTCTATCCTTCCCATTTCTCTGAGGGCATTGATAATATCAGCATGATCCATAGGCTGACCGTCGGTAGTGATAGCGGATCCAGCCAACCTGTCAGCTCTTTCATTTCCATCGACGCCTGCGTGTCCCGGAACAAAAATAAAGGTGACTCCACGGACAGTGGACTTCTGTAATGATTCAAGCCATTGTCTTCGCACTGAACCTGCCTGAACCCTCCGGATCATACTCATTGAATCACTGAGTATACACACGCGGGTGTATTTTTGTGTTTCAAGCCAGGCAAGTGCTTGTGTCACTGCCATCACCTCCATCGTCATGCTGCTGGTTGTCATGGAGAAGGCGCCGTTGGCTTCTTTGACTGTTCTGCCCGCTGAGCGTGCTGTAAATGCCCATGCGCTTCTTCTTTGGCGTATAACGGATCCGTCTGTATAGATTATTGCATCTGCTTCGTCTGAATTTTCACCGATGAGAGCGTTGACCTCTGCATTAACAGCAACAGGATTCTCTTCTCTACATCGCCTGTTGAGTGTGACAATACAGGAAAATGTACAAATAAACGCCTGAGGCACAGGTATCCATTCTGCACCAGGTATGATGTCGGTTAGGCTGCATATTTGCCTAATAACATCTTCTGCCCGACCTAGCCACGATTTCCCCCTCTTCAGTCTGTCGCCCTTTTCACTAAAAAGCGCTTGATGCAGTGGGTGTTTCTTATCAGCACATATTTTGAGATATGCCCGAGCCCTCCACATCCTGATCCTTTGGTTCATTGTTGGAAAGTCAAGTAGATACCTCATTGCTCCACAGGATGTGTCTCTAGTACATCCCAAAATAATGCGCATGGATTCATTTTGCACCTTTTCGAGTCGTTCAATCTGGGTAGCACTGACAGTGAGGATGGCCAGAGCGTATTCAATGGGGGAAAGGACCAGACCGTAGAATAGAAGTATTAGTAGTCTTTGCTCAATGTTGGAAGCAGCCATAATCCTCATTGCAGATAGACCTTTGCGTGCTTTTGTTATCACATGGTCAACGTGTTCCCTGAATGACAAGCTGCGATCGAACCTCACCCCGAGAAACGTCATAACGTTGGTTCTGATCAATACATTATTACGCATTTTCACTTCTGGTAAGTCCGACTTGACAATGTGATTGTTCAAAGAGAACCATGACACTGATGCCTTCGAAGGATTGAC